TAATTCTGTGATCATGGGAGTGAGTTTCGTGTATCATGAGGCGTTCATGTTGGAAGTTCTTTGGCTTCAATGACACTCTTATTAAAATTTAGATTTTACAAGGTTGTGTATGTTTTACTTTCATGATAGGATCTGTAGTGGTATTTGTAGAAGAGTTCTGGATTCCGTTCTATTCCCCTAGTGTTCAATTTAGTAATAGATCTACTTGCTTTAGATACCTCTAATTGGGAATTGGATGTTGAATACCTGGTTCTTTGAAGTAAAAAGTGTGGGTTTTGGAGATAAAGTTATATTCCATTTACTCGATAGCACTTCTCTCAGTCTCTTGGTACCTTTTTCTTCTCCATTAATCTTCTCCTCATGTAGCCACAGGTTGTTGAATGTTCTCTAGGACTAAATTGTCCCAGACAATACTTATGGTCCTCTATTTTATTTTGCAGAATTACCTATGACTAAAGTCTTTCTAGGCTTGCCAGGACCATGGGCAGATGACAACTATGAGCCCTCTGATCATTATACAACTAAAATTGGTGGATTGCCTGTATGTTGGTGATTGACAGTTTATTTTCAAATTCTCTTTTTTATTCCTTTCCAGAGTTATTAATTGCTGTTTATGAATTATTATTTTGATTCTGTACCTTAACAGGACTGGCCTTTTCCTGTGGAGGCTTTGGGATCCAATTTGCTTGCATGCAGTGCTTGTGGAAGTAAACTCTGTCTTATAGCCCAGGTTTTACTTCCTTGAAGAATCAGTGATAATCTTTCTGTTTATGGTTGCACATTTTTTGTGAGCATGCACTGAGCCAGAAAGGTCCCTGTTTTCCATTGTTCTTTCCAGGTTTATGCTCCTATTTCAACTGAAACTTTGAAGATTGATGAACGTGTCATTTTTGTTTTTGGCTGTATAATGCCTAAATGTGGGAGCTCTCCTATTAGGTGTGTATTCTATTCTCTGTTTATCATTCATCAAATCTGCACAATAAATCATATATTGGACAGAATAGTAGTAACTAGTATGCATTTGTTTGCTACTATGCATGCAGCTGGAAAGCTCTTCGTGTTCAGAGAGCTGAAAATAAAAGGGAATCACATGGAAACTCACAAGAAGCCAAGCCTTCTGCATCTCCTGTTTCAGTTTCAAAAACTAATTGGTGGGAAGATTTAGATGATGATGACGAGGATATAGATTTAGGGAATCTGGGTAGAGCACTCTCTGAAGCTGCAAGCATGGCTTCTCATACCCAGAAACAAAGAAGTAACCAGCAGTTTGAGACTGTTGTGAAAGATTCACGTTTGGGCTCACAAACAAGAGTGGTAGATATCTCCATGCCAGGTATCTTTCGATTCTGCAATAGAACTCAACATCTTATTTCTCTTCTCTGCGTTTTACTTATGAGTCAATATTGTTGTGATAATATATGATAGCTTCACTTTTGCTTTGTCCATTTATAATATCTTCAAGAAGAAAGCATGTGGTGCTTTTTAGGTATGTCATTTTTCTTTTGGATGTTTTATACACGGTTGATTTTGTTTCTCATTGCAGTGGGGCCTTGCTTTTATCTTTATACTCACGAACAACCACCCTCAAGGGATGCTCTTTCTGTTTCTTCAAACTTCTTGTCATTGTCTATTAAGGATAAACAGAGTGATACTGATGACCATGAACAAGAAGAAAAATGGGAAGAAGAAAAATATGAATATGATAAAGCTTTGACTGCTGATAGGACTTATCTCAAGTTCAAAAAACAGTTGGATTCATTTCCAGAACAGTGTTTCAGGTACTCAGCCTTGAGTTACAGAGATATGATTGCATTGAGGGACTGTGATACTTTTACCTGTTGGGCACTCACCTCTAATTTTTTAAAGATATTTTCCTAATAAATCCTGCATATGCTAGCAACTGCATAAGTTTTTCTTATTTTTTAAATTTTCAGTTTCAGTTCATAAAATTATTTTGAGAAGCTTGGAAGAGTTACAGACCTTTTATAAGTTCAGCTATTTTTACTGTTTACAGTTAAATGTTCAAGAATGAAATATTGCCCGCTTGATCAGTTGTCTTCACCTTACTTAGAAGATTTCTCTTCATTGGTTTTCCCTGTGTAAAATTGGTGTTCAGCTTGATTGTCTCCCTACCACTACCCCTATCTTTAGGGAACTAAAAAATAGCGAGGGTCTAAAGAAGAGAATTATATAAATGTGGATCCTTCATACAATTCCTCAGGCCCATGATGTATTTACTGCTGTTAATATTGATAATAAAGGGCAAATTACAGCTCACCTGCTAACTGGAATTTTGCTTTTTTCAAATTAATCCCTTAAACTCTTTACAACTGGAAGCATGCAACTCGTGATCCATCAGGGAATAACCTTGACAGTTGACTATCCTTCCTGGTAGCATAATCAGTTATATCTTCTAGTTTCTTTCTAAATGATTTTTATTTTTCTTTTTATGCTCAGATACTCATATGGTGGCCAGCCACTTTTGGCTACTGCAGAGGCTGGAGACCCTGGGAAGTGCACTTCTTGTGGAGCTTCAAGGCATTATGAAATGCAGCTGATGCCTCCATTGATATATTTTCTACAGGAAGCAGCTGAGGATTCTCAGAAACATTCAGTGGATAAGTGGGATTGGATGACACTCATTATCTATACTTGTTCCAAGGTGAATTTAACTCCTGATTTACTCTAATGATAATTTATTCCTTTATGTAGGACAATTCGAGTTAGTTTGCCTACTTAGAGTTTTGAAATAAGTTTAGGAATTTGGAATTTTTATATACTACATCTAAATATTAAGCTGAAATAATAAAAAATTAACTAGGAGTTCACACATAGGATCCCTCAACCATCACACCTAAGCAAAGGTTCTTAAGCCTCAAGCTTAAGAGATAATTACATCACACAATAAGTATATTTATAAAACAGTCAGAATACTCATGCTTAATCTCAAAAGTGAAATCATAAATTTATCTCTAGTGCTTAAACATATATTACCTAATCTTACTATAATTACAGAATTTTAATGGAAAAGTTATAATTTAAAAAATTTAAACTATAAACAAAATTTTATAACTATTGAAGTCTTATTCTTACCAACGCTATTATGACAAACTGTAGATTAGCAAGAAATACAATTTTTAGTCCATTTAAAAGATACAAGTTAAATCTGTAGATTAGCAAGATATAAAATTCTCAGTCTATTTAGGAGATACAAGTTAAATCCATTCTTCACCATTCTCCTTTAATTGGAGAAAACTCAGCCATGGATTTAAAGTGTCAGATGATGAAAAACTCAATTGTGAACCATTCTAGAAAAGTTTTGGCAGACTTTGCAATTAATCATCCTTCTTAGAAGCAAAAATAATGAAAACAAACAATTGATTAGGACTGTGAAACTCTGGAGGTGGATGAAATTGATGTTTACAAGTTTAAATTTCACATTCATCCTCGAGCCGGATATCATTAGATCCAATTGGATTCTTGATGTCGTCCTTGCACTAGTAGGTCGTTTCACTTGTAGGTCCTCCGTCAAAGTCATGGTTCATGAGTTATTTGTGCTTTTCCTGCCTCCTCATCTGAGACATCCTCGGATTAAGTTATGCTGGTATCCATCTTTAGGTTATCATCATCTAATTTTTGTTGGTTCACCATACCATCGAGTTGTCCACAGTTTGATTGTAATGGTTCCAATTTTTCAAGCGTTCTTCAATCGTTTTATCATTTCTTTGACTTTTGCCTCATATGATCTTTGATATATATGTATCTCCATTGTAGTCATAGATTTCAAAACCATATCCTTTTGGTTACATGTAAAGCTCTATATGTTATTGTCCTCATCATGGTTAACGTGCTGATCATAATGCTAAGGTTGGCCTAGAAGGATATATGGAGACATCCTATGAACTATATCATATGGATAATCAGTATAAGTACCATTGCTAATAGAATTAAGAGATGGTTGAGCTGTTGAGCTCATACTGTTTGTTCATGCTTCTCTATTTTGTCGTGGGTTGTGCCAAAGATCAAGCTGTTTAATGATAGAAAGAAAATTCATTTGGTAATTCTCGTAAATTACAAGCTTCTCATTTTTATTTCCAGAATGAAGTAGCATTTGGAAAATTAGAGATGGCTTCCAATCTATTTTCATTTTAAATCCTCATATGTGCTTAATTATAGTCAAGAAAGACGTATCAAGTGTACCATTAGTCGAAGATTGTTCATTCTCTTACTGAATATTCAGTTCAGATTTCCAGAAAAAGGATTGTTGAGCACAAATCTGATTAAATGGAAAGAAGAGAGCATGTCAAAACACTTTGAACTGATTTGACCTGATGAGAAGCTTGTGTGGAAGAGCGTGAATTGTTTGGGCAAATATGTTTTAGCCAAATATGGGCAAGTGCAGTGAAAATGGAACAATTTTTGATGAAACTCACTTGTGGTAGCAGCCTAGCAGTTGGGGCTTGAGGTACATGTGCTGGTTTTCAGCCATAGAGTGCCTTAATCCTTATATATTTGTGTTTTCCTGTGAAGGAAGTTGTAGATTGGGGGTCCATCCAACGTTTCATGGCCCTGATGGTGGCGTTTCAGTTAAGAAATAGTAATTCAAGGTTCCAATGGTGAGTAATGTGCTTTTCCTGTGTCCTTTTTAGCAAGGAATCCAAGAGAGGGCTTGTGGAGGTTGGTGTTGAAAACGGCTAATAATTGTTAGTGAACTATGGTTGGCATCTAACTTGGGGGAGGGAGTGGCTGCAGTTGTGATTTGTGTTTTTTTTGTGGTTAAGTATCTATTTGGATGTAAGGTGTTGAGAGTTTTGTGAGAGGAACATTAGCTCTAATACCAATTAATATAGGACAAACTAGGGCTAGTTTGCCTACTTATGATTTTGAGGTAGATATCAGAATTCCTAGGTATCACATCTAAAAATTTCGATGAAGTAACATAAAGTTAACTATGAGTCACACATAGAATCCTTCAAACATCCCTCCTAAAGTGAAGTTTCTTAAGCCTCACAATTTAGAGTTGATTACATCATAGCAAAGCTAATCAGACAACTCTTAAATAATTTATTTACTAATGGCTGATATGAAAAGTGGGACTAGATGGTATTCATAGTGCTAAAATGTGAAATCCTAATCTAGACTGAAGTTAAGGAATTCTAACAGAAAAACTAAGTTAAAAGAATTTAAAATATAATCAAATTCTAATACTACTAAAATCCGAAATTTACCAATACTTTTACAAGAAATTATAGATTAAGCAGAAGTGCGATTCCTCCTCTGTTTAGCGGATACAAGTTAAATCCATTTTGCTAGTGGCATCTCAGTGAAGTCCTTCTACATGCACTTGGACTTCATTGACAATTTCAGTTTGGTTGATTTGCCTTTATCGGAAGGGCGCTGAACCTAGTCCAATATAAGGGAGAGGGCATCATTTTCTGGGATTAACTGATTTCTGGTTCCTTTCACTTTGCTGAGCTATCTCTAGGCTTGATTTAGAAAATACTCCCTTTCTTACCTTTTGCCACTTCCAATTTGCTTGGTTTTGGATGTTAGTAAAGGAGGGCCAAGGTCCATTTTATTTGAAAAGATGTGGCGCAAAGCGGAGGCTAAAAGTGCTTGTGGTTTCTTAATTGGAGGAAGAGAAATGCACCTGGTTTTGCCAATTTCAAAAAGTCTTTTTGTTGATGAATTGTGGGCTTGACTTGGTATTTTGAGGGATAAGGGGAAGGTGAAGGTTAATTCTCTTATCCCAATAGATACTTTGTGGATAACTTGGAAGGAAAAGAAATAAAAAAAGCCTTTGAGAATAATTGTTGTCTTTTTTTTTTGTTGATAGAATTCATGTATGTTCCATACATTTTTTTCCAAAGGCCAGTTTCTCTCAATGACCGAAGGTCTGGAGGACTTAATTAAAATCTTGACTTCTTTGCAGTTATGCTCTCTTGTGCTTCTTGAATTTGGGTGGCACCACCTTGTTACTCTTAAATGTTAATTCACTTTTTTCTTTTAAGAAAAGAATTGCTAACATTTTATATTGTATTAGAATCTAAAAGATGGAAAAAAGAAGTTGGATATCCTAACAATTTTCCTATTTAAAGCACTATGGACTTAACAAAGGGGATGCATCTGTGGTTGATTATGGCTAATGAAGTGGTTGATTATGGTCACCAATCAACCATTTTACATTCATTCTTGCAAAAATGGAGAAAAGAAAAATCACAATCAAGAAGGGTTTATAGGGGAAAAGCTCTTATGTTTGGAGAAGGGAGAAAGGACCTCTTATACAAGCTTGAGATGGAGAATGGGGGTTAGACATATGAAGTTTATGACTATATCTCCTGTGACTTCTTGATCTATGGTTTGTGGCAGGTGCGGTCAGAGGCCTCTGCATAGTCTGCCTCCTCTGCAGTCTTGTTTGATGTGGGATTTACTAGTTTTTTTCAGATCCTCTAGGGTTCTGAAGCAATGTTCTATATTCTCACCTTTGCTTCATCTTAGTCAAGGAAGCTTTTAACGGAATGGTGCCTAGATTTAGAGGAAAATACTTGTGTCAAAGCTTGAGCATATGCGACAACAGGGACGGGGCTATGAAACTATGCAGTTGCTTTGCAAGCTGAGGAGGGAACATCTCCTTGGTATTTGTTGTCTGCTTTGTTTTTTAGACACTTTCAGGTTTAAGGATTAACCTTAATAAATGGAGAATGGAATTACTGGGGATTATGTAGGAATTCACACAGGTTTTAGGGGGTTTAGTTGTTTCTTTTCCTGTCAAGTATTTGGGTTTCCTATCAAGTATGTCGGTTGCACCATGGTTATCTGTTTTTTCCTGGGATTGAGTGAATCTCTCAACCATTTCTCTGGTTCCTAGAGGCTTGAGAGCTGCTGGATTTCACTCTTAAGTTAGTAACCTCTGTTGGGTGGTCAGTATTCTGTCAATGTTGAGTCGAAGGTCTGGGCAGCTTGAGGGTGGACAAAGCTAAGAAGGATCTTGTTTCCTGATTTGTTCAGCTATTTGGATAAAAAGAAAACAAAGAGCCTTTGAGGATGTTTTCTCTCTTTTGATAAAAATCAGAGATCATTGGTGTTGGGCTTGATGTGTTTTTGTCTGAAATAAAGATGCTCCTAGGGAACTTATAGGTATTTCGCCTGCCTCTATCAGGAATTCCTTTGGTACTTGGGTGGCAGCTCCTTGGTGTCTTGGGGATGTTCTCTTTTTCTTTAAAATCAAAAAGTTTAATCTAAAACATTTAATGACATTTTTGGTAATACATTTTTTATCTAGTGGCATTTCACATTTAAAGACAGAACGATGTATGTTGGGCTATTTTTTGATGTTAATTCTCTAAATATGTGTTCAGACATAGAAAGATGTATGTTCGGCTATTGTTGGGGACAAACGAACAACGTAATTCGTTTGTAAATGAATTCTTATGTTTGTCATCTATGTATATTTCTGTAAATTAAAAAGACATATTATGTGTGTGAAATTCTTTTGTTCCAAAGACCCCCCAGTTGATGCAGAACTAGCAAATGGTGTTCAATTCACTGTTTTATAGCCGCTTGAAACAAGCACATTCCCATATAAATGGTTTTGTATGAAATAGTATAATATTATTTGTGTCCTTCCTTGTTTCTACTTTTTTAACAGAACTGTTGCAACTCGGTTTACGAAGATAAGTTCAACAATGGTGATTGGATTGTGGCTACCGAGACTGTTGTTGTACAACATGAGAATACTGTGAACGAATATACGCAGCTTGGCTATTTCTTGTAATCTTTGGCATTTTGGCTGTGAAGTTGGTCTCCAAATTGTTCTAGATCACCATTTGTTACTAACAACTTAGAGAAGGGAAAACTCTAAGGTAGTTCCGAGGCTATTTGCCTCCGAGGCACTTTAGAAGCATCGGTATGAAGTGTTTGCGTACCTCTTTTCGGATAATGCTACAATGCATTATATGCATTTTGTTTGGAAGTTGTAAGAGAGATAAATTAAAAGTAATAAACTATTGTTTTACTTCCGGAGGTGTATATATATATATATTCATTTTATTTAATGATAGAGAATCATGAATGTAAAATGCTTTGGAGGCATTAAATCATTTTACGGATCTTTTAATTTTATGAAATATTAATTTGCAGATTAGTTTGTTAACCTGTCCCCATACTTTTCTAATTTACATTTTTAGCTCAATTCCTTATCTGGCACATTCTCTGTAGCATCATCTTTCATCAATCCCCTGTTTTTCTTTAGACAATAGTTTTAACATTGAACAAAAAATTTCTATTTAAGATATCTACTTCTTTCTCGCCTAACCCTAATATTTAATTCCTCAAACCTTGATGTGAGTTCAAGTTTTAAGTAATTGATGTTTATCATTTTACTAATTTAAAACTATAAATATTTATTACTATATAGAATATAAAATTAATATTTATATTTCGTTTGCTCGATTAATATTTAAGATGTCAGTTGATAATTTATACTAGTTTATGACTAAAGCTCAGTAAGAATTCGCTATAGACCATAAAATATAATAATCAAGCCACCATATACAGTAACCTAAATTTATTTAACTATAATTTATCATAAACATAAATTGTACTAACCGACTTACATGACAGAAATATAATAATTTAACTATAATTCATAGTAGTTACTTACAGACTAATTTAACCATAACCACAAGTTAAGCCTACATATTGTTATCCACTTAATCAAGAACAGAGACAGAATTAACAGCCTTCATGGATATATATCATAATCAACTTATAAATGTTCACCCAAACATTCTTATGGTACAAAGCAAAAACACACAAGTAAAGGAATGTTCTCCTTGAGATTCAGTCACTTCATATACTGAGATATGGATCATGCAAGAGCGAGGAAATAACAGTTGGCTCTACGCCCCCAAAAAAAAAAAACACGAATACAGCATCGACACAGTATACAAGGGCTCCTACTCGAATTTCTTGATCAGTGATAAGTCAGTCAACATTTTCTCAATAGCCTCATCGTCATGGGCCCGTCCCTTGGTCTGCATGACAAGCAATTATCAATGAATGAATTCAAGTTGATTTTTTTTCCCGATTATCTTAGTAAGCATCTTTCAGTTGACTAGTAGAGTTGATAGAGCATCATCGTCACTTCCACTTACAATTGCATGCAAATGGAAAATTACATTCTTAAATAAGCATACCTTTATAGAAGGTACCATAGCTATAGCTTCCTCTACAGTTTCAGGACATAGATTGCCGAGAACACAAAGCTGCACAACAAAGAGCAGTACAAATTTGAAAGTAAGAATCAGCTGCATCCTAAACATAGCCTCCCAAGTCATGAGACCACTTTACCTCGAATTCAGCCAACTGGTACCTACTAAGAATTCTGAAGGTGAGTTAAGATTTACATTGTTGACACAATGTACAGGAAAATATGAAAGAGATAAAGATGGGTTATGTAGAAGAATAAACTGAAATATTATTACAGCACTACCCTTGTTATTATGCCGGATAAACAATACATAGTTTTTATGAGTGTCACTAGGACAAGAATAAGGAAACTAACAGTGGGAACTTAACTATAGAGAAAAATTGTTATGTAGAAAAATAAAAACATATGGAGCATAGTAAAATATACTCTAACAAACTACGACAATGTGGATGTTTGGAGCATTTGTAGTCTGTGTTATGAATTTTAAAAATGCAGTTAAAGTAGATGTGTACTAAAAGTGCTTCTAGTTAAAAGAATAGTTTAGTATTTGGTAAAAATAACTGTAAAAAGTGTTGTCATTTTAAAAAAGCATAAATTGTGTATTTGGTGAAAATAACTTTTGATATTTCAAGTATAAATCTTCAGTAAAAACCAAAACCATTTTCTAAAGCCTACACATTGTAGTTTTTGTGTCTAAAACCTGTCAAAAGCATATTTCGGTTTTGATTTTTGCCAAAAGCACTTTAAATTTTACCCATTTGATTGCGAAAGTATTTTCCAAACATAAAAGCCAAACCTAAAAGACCAGCCAAAAGAGGCCCAAACAAATTTAGAAATTTTGTGAAAATCATTTGCAAATTCGCATTTGGTTAACTAGAAGATGTAAGAAAATGTATCAAGATGAGAAAAATTTGATCCCATATGGAATATCATATGAAATTCAAACAATACATCCCAAATTTCATAGTTCCTAAGAATATCGAACATATTATTCCAATTCCACATCAAATTCCAAATGAGATTACCTTTTAATTGTTACTGAGGGAATTTTCATCATCTTCTAATCGAATTAAGAGTTGATATGCAATCGAAAGTTTTGGATTTGTTCCACAAATAGCCTATGTAAATAATATTCTCATTCCATAACAAGTACAAAATTGATAATTCACTGCAAGATTAGCAAATAAACAAAAGATACTAAATGGTCAACATTTCAATCAGTGTTAAAAGATCCCAAGATCATGTCTAAATGCCAAGTCAGACGCACCATTCAGAAAAATAAGTGAAGAATGACATGAAAGGGACTTTAATCAGGGTGCCTCTAACAGAATAAAGACCCTCATAGGTTTAAACATCTGCAGCTAGTGTCAACACATAAAGTTCTCCCCAATCTACGTGAACATGCAATGGGAAGATTCATTTATCAGTTCCTGTTGTACCTCATGTAACCAACATAAACTGGTAAATGGTAACATGCCGAGTTGATGACAAATATGTCTGATCCTCAAGAAACAGAATACATACTGTTAATTAGATCCCATTCAACAATTATCTTAATATACATAAAACTTGAAATACATGCTCTTAGAGGAATGCTAAGAAAAAAAATCAAATATGAAAAACCTAAATAGCAGCAAAGTAACAATGAAATCCTAGTCTCTATAGGAAAATTTTAGAAAATAAAGAATCCTACTTTTAGAAGACTCATATTTTCTCCAGCATCACCCACCCTAGATTGCTAGATGAAATCATCATATAATGAATTGGTTAACTGACAAAAATCTGAATTTTTCTCAAGTTTATCACTGATGAAAAAATCAATTACATGCAACTTTTTTAGAGGTCTTAACCTAAGAGAATCATAAAAAATATATATAATTAGAAGGAAATCTGCAAAAACATAAATATAAGTACACTATCATGCAAATACACAGACAGAAAGTCCTATTCTTTCCAGAAACAAGGATACTCTCGAACTTGCCTAACAGCGTCTGGATTTTTATAACGGCTGAAGCGCTTCACATACTGCAGTGACTTCTCAAATACTCTGGAACAAACAAGAAAGATAATAGATCACACTATGTGAGAAAATATATTAAAAACTTGCATCTAAATTTTTCTGAATCCCTTCACCTGCAAAGTGATCCATCCTTAGTAGCAATATGTTAAGAGAAGGGCCAAAATATAGCAGTGTCACTGCTCTTTCATCACCTCTAGTTAAATCAATGGCAATATGCCAGTGCAATACGAGGCTCAAGTTACAGTAGGA